GTGTTCAAGTCCACCAGAATTGCACGAAAGTGGGAAGGTTCACACGCTTAACATGTACCTTTGCCTCAAAAGCATTTGCTGCCATCCTTGACGCTGCAGCGCATCCAATGACATGAGTGCGCAAACTTGCGTTGGCTGTGTGAAAGGGGCTATGGAGGTCACCCAGCGCCGCAGGACTTTTTAATTTTCCTTTTCACACTTTTGATACACTTGACTTTCATGCAACGGGAGGTAAAAGAAAAGAAGAAAGAGACTTGTCACGTTACCTTCTATCTCAGTCCAGTTGACGGCCACTTCTGCGATGGGGATGTTGAAGCACTGCGCGATGTACAAGAGCTCCACGTCAAAAGCCCTACGAAGAACGCGTCCAAACTTTACACCAATCATTGTTGGCAGTTTTTTAAAAAATATATTTCAGTAATATGAAACATCCGTTTTAGGTAATAAAAACTTTTTTTTTTTTTTTAGATGAACGCTTGGGACCGCTATGCTAATGCCGGTGATTTTGTGAGCCGCCACCGTCCTCACCAGCGCTCCACGTGCAGCGAGGAGAAGGTGCGCAGCGCCGCCTCGCGGGTGAAAAGCTTGAAGCCGCACTGCGTGTCGCGGATGCCGCGCACGCAAAGGAACCAAACCAGGAAGTGGAACCCGTGCATCAGGAAGTTGCGGAACAGCGAGCGCTGAGGCGAGAATGCAAAAAAAACAAAAAAAGGTTAAAAAGGAGTGGCGGCAGCGCTTGGGTGTGGCCAGCGGATGTGCTCGTGTTTACCTGAGTGACGGCGTCCTGCTGAAGGTGAGCTCGGGAACCGCACGAGATGGCCATGTTGTCCTGGAAACCACAAACGAGTCACAAAAGGGCTGCCATATCGCGCAAATGACAAAAAAGATCAGCCGGCTTCACTCCTCCTTCTGTTCCTTCATATTTGTCCTCCCTCTGCTTTCCTCCGTTCCGACCTTCCTTTCATTATTTCTGGTTTCCTCTTTTCCTTCCTCCTCCTGACCTTCATCCATCCATGATTCCTCTTTTCCTTTTTACCTTCAATACTTCCTTCCTACATCCCATATTGCCTTGTATCGTTCTACCTTCCTCGCCTTTCTTCCTTCCTAGCATTCCTTCTGCATGTATTATGATTCGTACTAAACTTTTACCGGTTTGGGACTGAGGTCTTGAAGGCCCATTTCCACTTTTTCGACGTCGGCGAACTTGGTGGCTCCGTCAGCATCCGCCATGAGAACAAGGCGGCCCCTGGAGCTCAGCGTTCCCTTCCCGAAGACACAAACGAAACGCACGTCAGCACGTCAGCGTGCTTCCGTTGCGAGCGGGACGCTAACTGCCTTTCACCAAGCGCACTGCGCCGCCTTTTCCCCGGTTCTTCACCAGCGTCAGAACTCGCACTTTCTCAGCGCCGTACTTCCTGGTGTACTGCAGGGCCATCTGGTAAGTGAGCACAGTGTAAACGGTGCGTTATATTTCACGTCAGAAAAAAAAATTATCTCAAATTAAAACATCCAGACAGTAAACGAGGGTGTCACCTCTGTGGTTTTGTCTTTGCTGCCGTCATCCACTACAATAACCTCGTAGGTGAAAGAAGCTTGGCGTTTCTGTGAATGAAGAGTACAAAAACGGTTCAACGCTGCCACCGGTGGGCATTTGCACAAATAGCATGCAACCGTGCCGAATTACTCTTCAGCTTCATACTGACCCGCCTGCTCTCCAAATATTCCATAGCTTCATCCAACATGAGTGGCACTGAAACAACACACGGTTGGATGAAAGGTAAATATATATATATATTTATATATACAAGTATCCTTGAAGTGGTGTGTGGAGTTTGAGTTGGCTAGTCTGCGTTAAAGTGCCTGGCTGTGAGCTGTGGTCTACAGCAGGTTGATTTTTTTTTTTTTTTTTTTTTTGCGCCGGGCAATAAATGACTGTCATATGTTTACTTTACAAAAAAAAAAAGGGGGGGGTGGCGGGGGTTGTTGGAGTAGTCACTCACTCCGCAGCTCCTCATTGTAGGCAGGCACCACCACGGAGAGTTCTATTGAGGGGGGGTCGTGCAGACTGGGGAACAGCTCCTCTGCACCAGTAGCGGTGATGAAGCGTTTCTCCTTGTTGTCCCGCATCAGGTTGGCCACGCTGGCCGTGACGTGCGCCACCATCACAAGCTGAGCACAACAAAAGAGTCATCAGGTTGGGAAAAGACAAATTAGACGGCGCTGCATCAGTTTGGATTTGAGGTTAGGGTTGTAGGGAAAAGATGATCAAGTTCATGGCATGAATGACAAACACCTTGTAAAAAAAATAGCCACCGACGTTCAACTCTAACCGTTTTCTTCATTTGGTAATCATGAAACCGTGTTTTGGGTGACACCACCTCAATTTCTGCTGATTACTACAGTCGACCCTTTTTTTGATGTTTATATGGTCCGAGGACAATAACCTCCGCGGGTCACAAAATGTTTGCAAAAAGCTGGCGATATCTGGAGGTCTTCTCGGAAAAGGGGTGGCAGTCACGAAATTGTGATTGAATAAGATATGCAGTAAGTTTAAAGGAATCAAACATATCCGAGCGGTACTTCTGTGCGTATACTACCTTGTGTACACAACGTTTTGTCCCACAGAGCTCCTATAAACGAGACCTGTCCACTTACCACAATTACAGCAACAATCGCCAAGCCTACCAAAGCTTGAAGTATCTCACAGATGCAGTCCATTTTTGGGTCAGGTGTGCTGGACGGATCGGCTGTGAGCTCTCACGGCAAGCTTGCCGCGGAGCTAGTCAGCTTTCTTCCGCACAGGTGACTATCTGTATTTTTAGAAGTTTCAAGGGCATTGATCAGCAAAAGGTTCGTCAATTCAACGAGGTCGGACTACAAGTTCATATTTGCACAAGTACGAGAGTCGTGCATTCCTTTTTGTTCGCTTCCAATCACAAGTGAACACAGCGGAAACCCGGAAGTGCTAGTTTCCGGATTGACACGTCATTGGTTGTGACGAAAAACGACAGGCGCAGTCACGCGTGTACTGACACCTGTAGGTCAGGAGGATTTCCAACAAGCGCTGGCTACACGGTATGTAAAACGGAGATGTAATAAAATATTACTTTCAACAGTGGAGGATATTAATTGATGGATGGCTGTGCCATTTGTCGTGGTTAGTTTAATGACTTTTTGTGAGTCCAGTGAGTAGTAGCTTTACCTAAAGGGCCCTTAGTGTCCTCCCCCGTCTTTCTAGATTAAAGTAACGACAATAATAATGAATACACAAAATAATACAAATAAAAATAATAAAATATAACTGAAAAATAAAATAAACGACACACATTTCCCCAAATTTTGATGAAGGCACCTCCTGGGGTCAAAGGTAAAATAAAAATTATACATGCAGCCTTCTTTAGTTACTGTACGTAGACAAATTGGCTTTTTCTTTTTCCTGCAGGCTTCCGTAGTTCAACTTCGACCCACGTGGCTAAACAAAACATCATGGCTGCTGGATTCAAGTGAGAAAGACCGCTCGCAAATTCACCATTTTATCGCCGTTATCGATAAAATGTATATGTATTTATGTACTCATTTACCGAATTCAAAATTAGGCTTTTGTACACGTGAGTTCGTGTGCTTATTTGTACTTGTACACGATCAAAACGTGGTGACTTGCTTCAAATCAATTCAATTCCAATGCAATTGACTTCGTTTTTGTTGTGTTCAGGACGGCTGATCCTTTGGAGTACCACCGGAGCTTTCTGGTGGGTGACGTTCGAGCCTTTGACGTAATAGTACACCACACTGACCAAGAACGTCAGCTTGCACATTTTCATGTTTCCAGAAAGAAAACTGTCGACCGGATGGACGCGAATTACACGAATTCCGAACCACGACGGTCAACATTGGTTAGTTGCACTCTTTTACAGCCCTTACAACAGGCCACGCCGCAGTACGGTACTCAAGAGCTCCGATCCAGCCCGTTGTAGCGGTTTCCCTCCTCACCAAGCTCTGAGAAGCCCGATGACGATCCTGGCGGTTTGAATCAAGTGCATTGGAAGAGGGTTACGTCTCAAACGGGCCTGGATTTGGGCACCCCTGCCTTAAAACAACACGTTTCCTTTCAGGCGTTCTTTTGCTCCTCACAAAGTTGCACAAAAATGTAAAATTCCTGAGTTCATAGTGCAACTGTCCTCAGGGTCCATCAGTACAGCAGATGGCTCGGCGCTGGTGAAGTTGGGCAACACCACCGTCATCTGTGGGGTCAAAGCGGTAAATGAGTCTCAAGATGGAGAAGAAACATAAGCTCCTGGTGTGCATGGATCAATGGCACCGGGCGAGTTGTGTTGCCATGACTCAAGTTTTCGGTATTCTCGTGCAGGAGCTGGCCAACCCGTCGGTGGAGGCAACAGGGAAAGGTTTCATAGGTGAGTTCTGGATGATGAATTAAGACTTTTTAATTTTTTTGGGCAATCTATTTTTTGATAACTCGGCACATTTCCAGTGCCCAACGTGGACCTGCCACCTCTGTGCTCCTCACAGTTCCGACCCGGACCGCCAGGGGAGCAGGCCCAGGCTGCCAGTCAGTTCATGGCTGACATCATTGAGAGGTGCATGGCCTACAATCCCATTTATTTATTTTTAAACTCCAGTTTTCTAATGTCTAATTTGATTTATTTAATTGTCACTGCAGCTCGGAAATGTTACAGATGGAGGATTTGTGTATTGAGCGAGGCAAGGTAAGAGACGCAATGTCATAAATTATTCTAAAAGCAAGTAGGAATAGATTAAGTTAAAATGGAACAGAAGGTATGTTTAATATTTTAGTTTTGGTTTGTTTCCAAATGTGACATTCAAGTTCCAAGTTTGCGGGCGGTACACTAGGGCAGCCCGTTGACCGGTGTTACTTCCAAGATGTGTCGCTATGACCACCAAGTTAGCATGCGTTACATTCAAATTGATCTTAAATCTAATTTTTAAATGTCGTACTACATTTGTCGGCAACACGTTGGAGTTGCACGTGTTACATTAACATTTGGAGACCTTTGTTGGTGATGCATTGAAGGTGTTGCGGCAAAGCACTTGATAGGTGTTAAGATTAAATTGGTAGGTTACATTCAAGCTGCGTGTCTCACAATGAACTTGTTCCATCCATGTAGCTTGTCAGTGTTTGAGAATTACAGGAGTTTGATTAAAATTTGTGAATTACGTACCAGTACTTTGTCAGCTTTTTTTGCAGGTGTTTTGTTCAAATTGGTCGGTGTTAACGTTCAAGTTGTTCCGTTGTTTCTGTAGCTGTGCTGGTCGTTGTACTGCGACCTGATATGTCTGGACTACGACGGCAACTTGTTGGACGCGTGCGCGCTGACCATGCTGGCCGCTCTGAAGAACAGTGCGTATAATGCGTTCCGCCGGCTTCGGTTGCCGTCGACTCATCTTCATCTTGTTGGTCTTGGCCCACGCAGCCAGGCTCCCCAAGGTCCGTGTCAATGGCGAGACCGGGGCACCGGAGGTGGACTTGGGAAAGCGACGCGGGTTGAAGATTCGCAGGCATCCCGTTGCCGCCTCCTTCTGCATCTTTGACGAGTGAGCGCAGACTTTTCTTTCCACCTAAATGGCGTCCCGATTGTTCTAAAGCACGACGTCCGTTTGGTGTCTCGCAGCTCCGTCCTCCTGGTAGACCCCGCGGCCGAAGAGGAGCAACTGGCCACCGCTCGCCTCACCGTGGTGACGGATGAGGAAGGACGCCTGTGCGGCGTGCACAAACCAGGTCAGGACCGTGGCTTCTGTCTCGTGATGCGTTCAGGGAAACTGGGAAATCGCACTCGGTGGGGGGCGGTTACAATGTATAAAATATTTAGTTGTACCTCCTATTTATTTTGTGTCATTCCAAAGTCAGCCACTAGATGACGGCATATTATCGTTTGAAAATCTGAAAGAGCGCAAACAGGAAGATTCTTGAATCCTCTTCAATCCTGCTTTTTACGCTGACAGAAATCAACGGCTGCAGGCTCCTAATAATGTGCATATTTGGGCAGTATCCACATTCGTTTGTTGGTGTTGCATTTGCCATGGACTTGACAGTTCGAAAATGTCATTTCTGATGTTTATTTTTCTTTTTTTTTAGGTGGGACGCCTTTGTCTGGGGAGAGACTCCAAGAGTTGATCGGCCGAGCGACGGTGCGGCAGAAAGAAATCCACAGACTCATCGACAAAGTCATCAAAAGCATCGTATAAAAATATAGGGCAACTACTTATATATACACGTATATATACATATATATGTGTATATATAAGTTGTATTTTCACTGTCAATATATATTCCTCTTTTTTTTTAAACAATAAAATGCTGACAAAAGTCATTATTTAAAAAGTATTTCTTAAGTGTCCAGAAATGTGTCAACACTCACGGCTCCAAATCCAGCGCCGGCGTACAAAAGCGGTTCGAGAGGTAGACGGCGGCCCCCAGGGATCCGTTTGTTCTGCGGGTACATGTGCGGTGAGGAATTCTCTTGGGACACGCCCCCAAACCCATGGAGGAGAAACCTTCTTGAGTGGGGGGTCTTCGTGGAAATATTCAGCTACAAGGACCCTTTTCCATTTTGTGTGGCTGGGGTGTTAAAAAAAACCCAAAAACAACAAAGTTCCTTCCTTGCGGATCATTCGCGCCTCGGCGTGGCGGGGGGCAACGTTTCCGCCTGGCGAGGTTTGGGGAGGGGTTGCGGGGTGCTTCTCTTCCTCCTACTTCTTGCTTGATTGGCGGTATGCTGCGGTGCCCCCGCCCCCCCCTGGGGGGCCGCCGCTGCCGCCATAGCCATTTGCTGCTGCTGCATTTGGTGCTGCAAGAATTGCAACTACATCAGGAAACACAAAAGAACAACGTCAGCGGGCAGGAAGTGAGCGTGGTCATGATGATGGCGGCGCGATGATGTCACAAGCGTGTGGACAAACACTTTGAGCATTTATTCAAGATGTACTGCTACACTTTTTCTCCTCACCACCACTAAAACGACAGTTTCGCCCACTTACTTTTTTTTCCCCCCATTACTTGTGCCACTTTTGGCCTACGAGTCCACAATTAAAAACATTTGTAACACAACTTGGCCTAACTAGGAGCAGGGCTGGCTCGAAAAACACAGACTAATGGATTTTCCTTTTCATAGCCCAATATCGATTCATAAAACCCCCAAAATGTCGTACTAATAGTGCAACCAATTGTCTTAGAGGAGTGAGGAAAAAGAGCGTACTAGCACACAGGTACATAAATGAATGCTCAAACCGGCTTCCATACAAGCGAGCATGTTAGTCGTGAAGCTCCAGCAAAGCACAAAATGGGGGACGTGGGACAAAGGGCGGGACTCGCAGAGGAATTTCCAACGTTTGGAAAACCGTGACGCTAAGACGGCCATACGGCAAGGAATCCGTCGAACGGACCGAGGGAAAACTTTTGGCTTGTTAAAAAGAAAAAGGAACAGCGATCGGTTCCATTGTTGACAATGGAACATCCCACATTGTCAATGCCACAGTCGATAAATTGGGGGAGAAGCAAACACGGACGATCCTCGATGTGACTGACTCGCCGTGCAACCCGAAAAAGCTCTTTAAACACTCGCTATGTTGCAAAGCAAGCGCAATTCTCTTCAGCGCAGCGTAGTGACTTGACGCTCATCGCTAATCAACATGGAGGATGGCGGCTCAAAACAAGATGATGCGGGCAACTGAAAAACAGACGGCGGTTGGGGAAACCATAGTCAGGGCAATCGCCAAATCGTGCTCGAATAAAAGGATGGACAAGACACATTGCGATAGCTCTGTAACGGAAAAAAGGCTGTCGACGGTACGTTCAAGCAAAGGATTTGGAGAAAGGCGGTTTGGTAAAAAGAACCGACAAACAAAAACAAAGCAACAGCAAATAGCGCAATTCTTGACAGGGGTGCGACTCTTGTCTTTTGTCGATGCAATAATTGTCATCGTCATCATCCACTTTCCACTATCTATCCAACATGTAGAAACAAAATCTGGTCGTTGTCATACAGAGAGAGGCAGCACGGACGACGGCGACACCATTTTGACCCTTTCTTTAAGCCGACGATCATCCAAGGTAACCGTGACGACCGGAGCACTCATGCAGCCAATCGGACAACGCTTCTGCAACCATGCTTGGCGTGGCAGCGGCCAATCAAAATGCTCGACATACAACACAGATGGAGTGACTGATGTGCTTCTCAAAGGGGGGAGGGAAACGGCTCATTCAAACTTGATCCAATTTGATTTGATTTGATTTTTTTTTTTTTCTTTTCCCTTTTGGTCATTTATTGAATGGCCCTCGTGCACATGTGTGTGTATGTCCATGTCACAGTTACTTGGATCTGAGGCTGGTGCTGCTGTTGAAGCCTTGGAGAAGGCAGCGGGGGCCCAGACCCGTCCAGCCCACAGCCCAACTGGGACAGCACTAATGGCGGGGAAGGCGGGAGGAGGATAAAAGGGTGGGGGGGGCAGGTGTTCCCCCGGGGAGGGAAAACATGACAACGAAAAAGGGTCAAACCAAAAAGGAAACATTGTGTGAGGAGATGCAACGGAAGGAGGGGAAGTTAAAGAGGAGGTTGAGAAAGGGTTGGGGCGGAAGGGTGGGTTGAGGGGGGGTGGGGTGGGGCGATAAAACAAAGTCAACGCAGCAGAGGAGAAAGGAAAGTTGAGTACAACCGCCACGTTTTGGCTACAGAGTCGACTACAACGCGTGAGCTCACTAAGTGGCACTCGCGACGCTTACATGGCGGAGGAGGGAAATGCGTGTGTTGAGTGTGGAATTATTTGGGGGGGTGGGGGGGGGGGCGGACTGTCGTACCTGCCGCCTGCGGAGACATGAAGCCGCCCACGCCTAAGTTGATGACGGCCGTTTGCTGGTTGCCTAAACTCGGGTCGGCGCCCTGGTCGCCCTGCAACACCACAAATGTTCATTTGGAGTTTAGCGGAGAACGGGGGCCCGCTGCAGCCAAGCGGAGAGCGTGGCCTACGATATATGGCGGGGTCTGGTGGGAAGGCACCACAAACATACACAGAAGCATGCGGGAGGAAGATCAATTTGACTTTTTGACAGGAGACCGAGGACGGTCGCAACTGCGTTGAGAGGATGGAGCACAATGCGCCAAGACCACGACGGCGCCGCAATGGAGTCAGCCCACAAATTGGGAGTTCAATTGCATTTTTGGAGGAGACCAAAGGCGGCTGCATTGCATCCAAGCGGAGAATTCCGAGCGCGGTGCCGCGGATAAAGGAAGCTAAGCACAATGAGCGTGTGCGCACAAGAGAAACTGCACATATCGAAAGAGTGTGGAGGAGGCGGAGCAAAGCAACACAGCATCCGCAGTCCAAGCTACGGGAAACGAAGACACACAAACGGGCTTTGCTAACGTTCAGCTGCGTGAGGAAGACACGTTTTGATGTTGAGAGGCGACCGGGGGGCCGTTGCAGGCAAGTGGAGACTGCGGAGCGTCAGAGCACATCAGGACTCACCGTGTCCCCCTGCTGCTGAGGGCTGGAAGTGGCCGACTGGCTTTGCGGGGAGAACTGCGACAGCTGCTGCTGCTGCATGGGGTTGAAGATGAGCGGTCCGGTCGGGATCTGAGCGTGTCAAACAAACGCGCGCCTTCACAACGCGGCGTGGACGCCGAAAAGTGAAAAGGTGACCGACGGCGGTTACCTGCAGCAAGTTGAGCGGTCGCAGCCCCGTGCTGCTGTTCAGGCCAAAGTGACTCCCTGCCAGAGAAGCACACGCAAAGTATGACCTCCACCGAGCCTCCATTTGGGAAACAATGATGATAAAAGTTGAACGAAATGAGTCATTGGCCAGAGAAGATCCAGATTGTGAAAAAAAAATCAACGTGTCAGCTACAGACAATTACACATCCTGTTAACGTTTGCTGCGTTAATTTAAATGCCCCCCCACAACACACACGCTAAAATTGGTGCATTCAAATGTTATTTTTCTATTCAGTTTTTTAAAAATGTATTTATTTTTGATATATTGAGAGAATTAATTTATTGTAAATAAAACATAAACAAAAGTAGGCGTCCTTTTAACCTTTGTTGAATCATCATGAGAAGGGATGAGCGGGTGTTGTTTTTTTGGAAACATTTTATGTTTAAGTACGACTATCAGCATTTTGGATGGGTGACGATTCAAGAGTTGCGAGTGTGTGAGCCACAACTGTGATGGCCTTGGAGGGAATGGCGCTTGGTGGATGGCTGCTACTGACCGGTCTGCGCGGCGGGCTGCATGGAGGGCACGAGGCTTCCAGACGGCAGGATCCCGCTCAAGTTCAGTCCGGGACCGAGCATGGGGTTGGAGCCGCTCATCAGCGTCTGCGGATTGCTGCGACGACGTCACAAAATGCTCAGTAAACGGCCTCAACACTGCCTCGCTTTTCATCTCAGAGGGGGCTGGCGCCCGAGCGGGGAAACGGCGCGGCGACCGGAGCTCGGCCGGCACTCACCAGACGGAGCTGACCACGTTGATGAAGTTGAGGCCGGCCGGGTTGGCCATGACGGGCGAGGAGGTGGTGCCGGTGGTGCCCACGGTGGGCAGCGGGATGGTCATGACGGGCAGCGGTTGGCTGAGGGCCAGCTGCTGCTGGGCGAACGGCGCCAGCAGGGCGGGCTGGGTCGGGGCCTCCGTCGGCGTGGCCGTCCCCAGCGAGTCGGCGGCGTGCGGCGTCGAGCACGGCGTGTTGGTGGGGGTGCCCGATCCTACGACAAAGACAATTGGAACGATATCATGAATTTGCTCAATTTCTCCGTTGAAAGGAATCTGGTGAAAAACAGACGGGGGGGCTTTTTGTCCCAGGAAGACCCGAATGAGACGTCCATTTTTGGAGTGACACCGATTGAGTGATGACGACTTGAAATGGAAACACACGGTTTCCTCTCCAACCAGAAGCGCTGACAAGAGCAACCGCCATCGTTCCGGGACTCGTACTCACTTTGCGTGGAGCTCATGGGCGAAAGCGAGGCGGGGGACAGCAGGCCCACCTGCCCCAGCTCCACCGAATGCTTCCTGTTCAGAGGCTGGCCTTTGGCCGGGGGCGGCGGCGTAGGACACTTGAGAAGACCGCTTGCGCTTTGGGAGCTGTATGGATTACCTACGGGCAGACGCAAGCCAATGAGAACCTCGCGGGAACCAACGAACTGCAAGCGCAAAGTCGGCACCGGGGCCTTCACGGGTACTGTTGGGGGCATACCTGAGGAGCCGCTACCTGATCCCGGCGGCAGTTTGATGGGCTGCGGCCGGTGCTTGACTCCTTTGCCCAACACGGACGTTTGGACCAGCGGAGAAAAGCCGTCACCCTGACGGCGACGACGACACGGCGTGTGCCGATCACAACCCACACGGTGAGCATCTACTACTAGTCATCGAAAAACAAAAAAATGACGAGAGCGCCCCAGTTTCTTCCATTTCTTGTTGATGTATACGCCAGGTACCACGAAAGGTGGGTGTCACGCGCAGCTTTTGACTACAACTCTGACGAGTTCTTTTTGTTGTCACCATTTTATTTGTCCAAACAAAAGTAAAGAAACAAGGCCGATCTCATCATTTTTTTCCCCCCCTGACTGGATGATGATGATGATAAAGGGCACCTCGTCCTTGTCGGGAGAAGGGGGCGCCGGCGCCAGGCTGCCTGAGTTGTGGGACATCTTGACCTGACACTTGACATCTCGCTCGTACACGCACTTGTACTGCGTGAGGAACCTGACGCACACGGAAACACGGTCGACAAACATTAGCAATCGGCCCAAAAAAAGGTCCCGGTTCATGTCAAGGACCAAGTCTGGCCTGCCTTTGTGCTAACGTTAGAGTACACGCACTTGTACTGCGTGAGGAACCTGACGCACACGGAAACACGGTCGACAAACGTTAGCAATTGGCCCAAAAAAAAAAAAGGTCCCGGTTCATGTCAGGGACCAAGTCTGGCCTGCCTTTGTGCTAACGTTAGAGGTGCTGTCCGACTGGAACTTCGGAAAGCTTGTGTGAACCTGTGGTTGAAAGCTAACACTGGTAGCAAAGTCGGAAGCGAACGTTGGAAGTAAAGCTGCTCTTTGCGCTAACGTTCGAGCTTATGCCGGAAACAAACTTCTGAAGCGAACATCGGCGCTACGATTGGAAGCTAACTTGAGAAGCTAGCAATGAACGCTTCAGAGCCTTTGGGATCAGTTTGCGGTAGATTTATCGAGGCAATCATGTTCCAAAAATGTAGGCGGGGCGCCATTTGATTCCAAAATTACAACGCTTTGTTGCTAACTCCTGTGACCATGAGATCTTACTAGAATGGCTCAAATCCTCTCCACTGTGCCCACTCACCGCTCAGCATCCATTTTAGATCCGATGAGGAAACTGGGGGGAGGGGGGGGAAAAAATAAAATAGCAAGGTTGTTAATTCAGCGGTTGCCGTTTACCGGCGCGCGCAAAGTTGGGAGGTCTTACGGCGGATGCGTGAGCTTCAGGTCCGCGCCGTCCTCGTCGGCCTTGCCGTCTTTGGTGCAGTAGATCTTGCCGTACACCAGCGGGTCACCCAGCGACTGGATAATGGACACCTTGGTCCTCTGGGCTTGACCGCCCGCCTCGCACTCGAAGGTGTAGTCGTCCACGACCTCCTGTGCCGGGAAGAAACAAGAGTTTGAACAGCGCCTGTCGCGCGCAACATTCTCCGCCGATGTTTGACGACTTTCACGCGGGTGCTTTCAGTAGCAGACCACGGAATCTCAAACTCTGAACTTCTCACTGTGAGGCAGACGCGATATGCTGTCCTAAATTCCTGGAATTTAGGACTAAATGGTCAAACGCACGTACCTCAGCGGGCCAGATCACCGTATTGGGCTGAGAATCTTCCAACTGCAGCGATTTCTCCACCACGGCGTACTTTTCCACCTGCGAGCAAGCTCATCTCCGTCACGCTTGTTTCCACGTGAGGAAATCCGCCCGCGTCGGAGAGCTGCACTTACGTCAATTTCTTTGGGAACACTCAGCTGGCAGCTGTTCTGTCTCCACATGTCCACGCACTGTGCGACAACAAAAACGAAACGGGGGAAGCAACTGAGCGCGATTGAAACCAGCGAGCACACCTGCGACAATGAAAACCGGCCTTGGATGCGGATCCCAAGGCGATGACGGGATGGAAATTTCAATTCGGGGTAATTTGCTGGGGTCAAAAGACAAGGCGTAGCACTTTCTAGGGGTCCAGGAACCTTTGGGGCGGGGTGGGGTCTGCAGCGCGTTTGGTTCCCGTAACTACGAGTATCGAGAGCCAAAAGACTGTCGAAGGGAGTCATTACCTTTGAGAAGCTCAGGACCAGTTTTTTTCTCCGGGAACTGACTGTAACCATTTAGTTTTAGGAACTACAAGTACCAAGAGCCAAAGGTTCTGGGGTAGTGCTTCCCACAACTCCATGAAGCTTTTGATAGGCAGAAGTGAAGTCATCTAATTGGAACCGTCGAGCTCCAGAAGCCACAAGTGATCGACACCTCAACGTTCCCGGAAAGGGTCGGAAACGCCAACGGAAATTGCGGTGAGGGCGCTTACGTTTCCGATCTTGGAGATCTTCAGGTCGATGACGGGCGCGGCTTTCCTCTCTTTCCTCTTCTGCAGGTAGTCGTAGAGGTGCAGCTGGCGCGGCGTGGGCAGCTGCGACAGCTCCTGCTGCCGGTTCAGCGCCGCCCGTGAGTGCCTCTTGAAACACCTTTGAGGCGTGAATTTAAAAAAACAAAAACAATCATAAATACAAAAGAACAGGGAGTGAGAATCTCAAAACAGTATCGGGAAGTGGAGGAGCTTCTCGTGCGGCGGTACCGTTTCATGGCGCGGGTGTTCATTTTTTGCTTGTTGTAGAGCAGCCGGTTGGCGGCGCAGGTGACGGAGATGGAGGGGTCCAGGCACAGAGGCTCGGCCGTGGCCAAGATCAGCTGGCTCTCCAGCTGCAACTTGTCGTCCTGGGGATGAGAGGTTGCCATGGAAACCAGGCGTGTCTGTGTCTGCACGCCAAGATGTTAACAGCACCGCAAATCATCCCCCCCCTCCCCCCAAACATAGCAGGGAGGTGGCAGAGATAGCAGCTAAGAAGAGAAGGAGTGTGGTGCCAGTTTTTCAAAGGGGTTGTACAGTGCAACCTCGGTTTCTTATAATTTGGTTTGGCATGGGGGGGGGGGGGCATACCTGTGTCCACTTGTGGTGGTCACTGGTCATGGCGTGAACGTCGCAAACAAGAGTCTGCATGGTGGGCCTGAGCAGAACGTGCCTGCTCTGGTAGGAGGGAATCTTGGTGTTCGCGCACTGCCGGTAATCTCGTACCTCCACCAGGACGCAGCCGCAGTGGAAGATGTTCACCTGGACAACGGGAAGAGACATTGTAGGAAGACGCCTACAACCGACATCTGTGACGCCTGCCAGAACCTTTTGGCCACCCGCGCACACAGAGAATGCCGTGCGCGCGCACGCACACACACACACAGACCTGTGACTTCTCCAGCAGGTCAACAAGAACAGGCGGCAGCTCCTCGGCATCCAGGTACTCCAGCAGCTCTCCTTCTTCATACGGCAGTCGGATCGTTTCGGAATCTGCCCAAGAGCGGGAGAGGAGGAAAACATTTTAAAAAATGAATAAAAAGAAGTCGGGACATCAGACCGACTTGACTGGGGCCCCGTCTGGGCCGGGTGTTTTCCCCTCACCTGATCCATTCTTGCCCCTGAGCATGAGCGAGTAGCCGTCGTTGCCGGCGTACAAGTTGACCACCAGACACGGCGCCGACTCCTGAGACAGCAACTTGTCCAGCAGCTTCACGTTCCTCCTGAAATTCTGCCGCACACGCACGAATGAGGTGTGAACTCGTAACCGTGGCATGTGCGTAGAAGCCCGCGAATTGGCTGGTGAGACCGACCTTCAGCTCCGGCTCCTTCTCACATTCTTCTATGTAGAGCTCGTAGAGCTTCTGATACAAACTCTTCCTGCCGCCAGAGGAAAGACGCCTCCTGGTGGGGCGCTGGCGAGCACTTTCCACAATGTACTGAGCAACGCGGTCGTGTGAAAAGGATTATATTTACGATTAGAATTCGTCTTAATATAGGTTTACAGTTGCAGTAGATTTATTCAACAGTGAAAGAGCACTTGCATTGCACGATAACAATGACACATCTTAAAATTGAAAGAGTCCGCATTAAAGCACGTTAGGGAAAGGGTGAAGAAAAACAATGCTTACCTCAGCTCGATCTAATGCATATTCCAATACTTGTTGCTGGGGGGAGAGGGGGGGGTGCATGATTCAGTGAAAACATAAACAAGCAATGCCTGTGGGCCTTTAGAGGTTTCATTTCATATACAGTACAAGGTATGGACTACTTTTATGATGATAGATTAGGATGAGGTTGAATTTACCATTGTGGTGAGCCGCCAGCGACAGGGTGACAGTAGACGTTGCTGCCCCCCGCCCCCTCCCACCCCCGGCTGCCCCTCACCGTCGCCCTCCTAAAGCGAGGATTCACGCCCTGTGTGGCAAGAAGACACATTTGGGAAACACGTTAAAGCAAACTGGAAGGCCAGCTGGGCCAGTGCCTCATAACCAACGAAGAAGAAAAGCGCTCAGCAAGCTCCGGTCACCAAAGTTGTGTGTTGCTTCCAAACATGCTTTTATTCCACCTTCATAACGACAAAAAGCAATGAGTCGACAGCTTCAACCGAAGGCATTTGAAGACATGGGACACGCGTGGCACATAGAGCTCCTCCGCGGATGCTCGACCAGCTGAAGGCGTGCGCGGCTAAAGTTAGCATGCTAACCCGCCGCTACGAGGGTGCAGAAGCTCGAGGGGGCTGTTTTTAATTTTAGTTGTTTTCTTTCCAGTTCTCCGCGGCAGAAAACGACGCCCCGACCATGACATGCTTGGCGGGGAGGGTGTACTCACCTTGCGGGTTGCATAGCGGCCAATAGCGCCTCCAACGCAGGATAACGAAAGCCGAGGGAAACATCGGAGTCTTCATTGAAAAAAAGTAGGAGCGGCCGCCATCTTCTTCCAGTGTGACAACAACAGCTCAACTTCCGTTTTGGGGCGCAGGTGGGCGGAGTTCAGCGGATGACGTAGTCACCTAGCAGCAAGTTGGACGGAAAATCTCTCTCTCTCTCTCTCTCTCTCTCTCTCTCTCTCTCTCTCTCTCTCTCCCTCCGTTCAGAAAATGAATGGATGGATGGATGCGCACACGTTTTGCGTTGGAAACAAAGATTAGGATTAGGCAGTGAGTGAATCAACTTGTCACGTCGATTATTTGGGAGAGAAATGCTCACACATGCTGGAATTCCGACAAGTTTCGGCACTCCAACAGACAAACAAATCGCTCTGAACGTACCGGACACACGACAAGTAAATCGCTGAGAAGCTTTGCACTAATACTTCATTGACCGACGGATGTTTAAGGAGCCTCGATGTTTGTGCTCTGGTTGCGGCTAGTGAGCGTCCATCCAAACCCAGTGTCGGTACCACAAGTGTGCAGCAGGGGGCGGTAGACGTCCGCAGATCCACCGCGTGGCCCGACGCGCAATTAGTGCGGAAACGCCAAGGTACATAAGAGTCAATGAAAGAAATCCGTTTGATCCGTTTTATGACCTCTTGGGCCAATCTCGAGGTGTGAAAGCGGGTTTTTGTCCTTTGCCACTCACTTAAAAAGCCTCATTGAGTGTTCGCACTTTTAAGAAAACAATCTGGTACTTAGCGGCACACAAAACAAGCGCTGTGCTGGATTCCAAATGACTGAGCGCACAGCTCCAGTCTCAATTATTTCCCAAAGTGCCAACATACAAAAACGGCACTTTCATCTGTAGCGTGGCTTTCCTTGGGGCCGATGGCTATAAAGTAGCCGCCATGCAATGTATGAAATGCATACATCCGCGTCAAACTACCGCAAGCGCAATTGTTGCGATGAAAGCGCTGTGTCAACATCTGAGCGGGGATAAGAGGTTCCTTTATGAGAGCCCAAGAGTTCTGGGTGCGGTTGGGTTTTCACGCGAGCGCACAAACACGGGCCCCTTTCTTTCTCAAGCTAAAAGTCCACATACGTGACCGAGCTTGTGGAAGGTCAACCCGTGCGTGAGATTTCAACGCTTTTGCTGAGGTTTTTTTTTTTTTTTTTTTGAGTGGTTTGTCAAATCGTGTCATTGCTTGTCGGGAACGTTGGGGCGATATTTACGTGACAACAAGCACGTCGGATTACGTTCTAATACAATCCGCGCTCACCACAGATGTGCGAAAAGTGACATCCCGGAGAAAAAGAAAACGCTGCAATGTGCATGCCAGGCCAGTAGCTGGCGATGTCTTGGCTTACACTTGCGCGTGTTCTGCACGTTCACGACTGCAGCTTTGAAAAGGCAGGAAAGGGAAGTTCAGGGAATCTAAAAGTAACGCTGACACGGCAGAAGAAAGGTCTGCCATCATTGAGTTCACCCGCCTCCATTCTGTGGCACAAGCACGCATTAAAAAAAAAAATAAAATAGATCAATCATTCACGCTCCCTCTTGGGGGTCAAAACTGCACGCAAAGATAGAACGTCTTATTTTGCATCTTTAGCGCCACCCATCTGCTATTAATGTTGAGAGCGATTGGAGAAAATCTCGAGAGTGAATTTGCCTTTGACCCCCCCACCCTGGAAATGGCCAAAATTGCCCTAAAATGACCACTTCAAACCAAAGTGGCCAAATTCAGGTGTTTTGGAGGCGGTGGGGGTGGGGGGGGGTGTTCCCTGCAGGCTTCAGCATGACAGCCATGCCGCATCATAAAAGAAGAGACCAACGGTTGCAGGCCAGCTGTCCCGGGTGGGATGAGCTCCGCTGGATCGTCGGTGGCGCGAACTTCTCAGGATGGAGACGCAAAGCACGGCGACCTTGAAGCGTTTATGCTTTCGTGAGTCCCGAAACGTCCCGGGTGGGATGAGCTCCGCTGGCTCGTCGGTGGCTCGAACTTCTCAGGATGGAGACGCCAAGCACGGCGACCTTGAAGCGTTTATGCTTTCGTGAGGTCTTTGGAGTGCGACCAAGCTCGTGTTTATTTCAATTTCTTGCAATCAGTGGAAATACACAAACACTTGGTGTGGGGGGGTCCCAAAAGGCAACTCGAAGGCCAACGGAATGCACTCAGCGGAACTCCGCTGAGGTTTTAAGGGGGAGTTCAACCCCCAAATTTTCTCTTCCTCCCTACCGGTGTACACACGGCATTCTGGTACACATTTCGTTTGTGGAAGGAGTTAAGCAGCAAAATGCCGCCGTTTTTGTCCATCTCATGGGACGGCCATTTTGCCACTTGCTCGGGGCTCAGTTAACGACCAATCATGGCTCGGCCTTCTGCTCCTAATATTCTGTCTTGAAAACAGATTCGTTTTGCAAATGTCACCCATAAGTCGACGTGATCCGTACACCAAAACTGGACGCAATGCATCGGGGGTGGGGTGGGGGGGGGTGTTTCATTTGGCCATCCGTATGAAAAGCGGAAAGAAAAAAGAAATGGTGATCTGGATGAATCTGGTACTGTGCCTCATGAAAAACACTTGTGTGTTTCCCTGCGTCATCCTGGCAACTAACAAACAAACCGCATGCCTTCAAGCGCTGTTAAAAAAAAAAACAACAACAAAAGACAAAGAAAAAAAAAAAAAAAAAAAAAAAACCCCCCGCCGACATGATTTAGCCGCGCGCCCATTTCCCCATGCTAACGACGACCGCAAAATGATTCCACATCGAGGGTGTGAAATGCTTCGCTCATCATCTCACTCCCGACGACAACTCCAAATCCGTCGGTGACAGTTTTGGCCTCGATGCGTTCATCCCCCCCCCCCGCCGAGCCGTTTCACGCTGACGGCGTCAACATGACATCTCCTTACGAGCGCGGGCAAGGGGGAGAAAGTGCAACATTTCCGATTCCCGAGCATGACAAAGGCTGCAAGCGGCAACGGGAGTTCAAACCCAAAATGGCCGACTTCCGGGGTCCTCGAGACTGTTTGAGTGCGTGCGGTTCCATTCGACACCTACGCCCAATTTGGCGCCGGTCCATCGAGCTCCCGACACGAATTTGCCCCAAAATGGCTACTCAGAGTCTGAGCCCGCAGGTCCGACTTTCTGTTCCTGTTTGCAGACTTTTTCGGTGCCTGCAGTTGCGCCGGACGTGTCCGCCCGACTTCATGTAAAAGTGTCCTCAGCGGCCTGAAGTCTAAAAAAAACGAGTCAGGGAGTTTGGAAGGCCACAACCATGTTGAGACCCCAAAGGGCAGTCGTTGGAACCGACCCTGAAAATGCCTTTGTGCGCTCATCTCTCGAGAAGAGAATGACGCGCGCACAATGATATCTGCACAGGCGTGCGCAAACGCATCCCGCGGCACAGCATGCACGGACGCTGATGTCATGGGCGACGGGACTTGCGCAACTTGCCCGGACTCCTGAGCCGCTCTTCCGTTCTCTCCCTCGAAAGGCAGCAGGACTCGCTCGGAGTCAAAAAGGCCGAGAAACATCGCAAACGACAATGTCCTCAAAAATAGCGGGGGCGAGAATTTAACACCCTCCCCCATGTCGGTTGGTAACCATTTAGTCCTTTTTTCTTTGAAGTGATCTGAATCGATATTTTCTTGACTTATTGTAAAGAATGAAATAAGAAGAGCAAAAAGAAGACTGTATTTTCCTTTTTTGAATGCCATCTATAATTGGAAAATAAATAATCCTGTTGTTTTTTTTTGTAAGACGATTGACGCCTCGTAAATGAAATGAATTTTGACTTAATCGCTAACAAGGAGGGACGACA